AAGTTTAAAATTTTGGTGAGAAAGTTCAATTTTTATATAAACCTTTTTTTATTATTAGTTCTGAGAGAATAGTAGGATGATCTGTTAACACATTCATACTTATCTGCTTCAGTGTATTATGCAAATTGATTTGTTACTCACTTTTTGTGATAAGCAATGGTGATGCAGAAGATCAGTAGGAAATCTAACAGCAAAACAGTAGTAGAAATCCCTTCAGTTATGTAGACACTAAGCCATTTGTGATCCCAAGTTGGTAAAATATGATTGTAATAAATACAATTGGTATAAATATAAATCAGCATAAACTTTTTATGACAAACTAAGCTGAAAAATCAATGATTATATAAAGACATTGTTCCATGACAGCTCATGCTTGATATTCAGAGTTTACAGCAATCTTCTCATTTCTAAAAAGCYTTTTTAGGCTGAACTAGCTCCTAGGAAAGTTGTGACTAGGATGACCAAAGGTTAGAGAACACAGCACAGGGGTATGAAAAAAATAGCTGTGCTTTGTATAATCCTTCTCTGTCTTCTTCCCTCCCCTGCAGAGAAAGCAGTCCATACATAAGTGACTCAATAAATGGTTAATTAAAGTTCTCAGTCTACTTARATGAATGTTCTTGGCTGATGACACAAAGCCATGAGGAGTGGCTGATACYCCAGAGCGCTGTGCAGCCCTTCAGAAAGGTCTCAATGGGTTGGAGATGGGCAGAGAAGAAGGGTCTGAGATTCAACAAARTGCAGGGCCCTGCACCTGGGCAGGAATAACCCCCTGTACCAGCACAGGTTAGGGGCTGAACTGCTGGAGRGCAGCTCTGAGGAGAAGGACCGGGAGGTCCTGGTGCAAAACAAGCTGTCCATGAGCCATTGTGGCCAACAAGGCCAGTTTTGTCCTGGGGTGCATTAGGAAGGGCATGGCCAGCAGGCCAAGGGAGCTGATCCTGCCCCTCTACTCAGCCTTGCTGAGGCCACTTCTGGAGTGCTGTGTTCAGTTCTGGGCTCCTCAGGACAAGAGAGATACAGAACTCCTGGAGCAGCTCCAGCACAGGGCAACAGAGATGATGAAGGGATCAGAGGATCTCTTAAAAGAGGAAATGCTGAGGGAGCTGGGCTGTTGAGCCTTGAGAAGAGATGACTGAGAGGGGACATCATCAATGTTACAGAATCACAGAATCAGCAAGGTTGGAAAAACCTTTGAGATCATCGAGTCCAACCTATACATCTGTGAGTATCTGAAGGTTACAAGAAGGTTAATTAATCCAGGCTTTTCTCAGTGCTGATAAGCATTAAGACAGGAGGGAATGGGCAGAAACTGATGCACAGGAAGTTCCCCCTGAATTTGAGGAAGAACTGCTTTACTGTGTGGGTACAAAAGCATTGGAACAGATTGCCCAGAGAGGGTGTGAAGTCTCCCCCACTGGAGATATTCAAGAGCAAYCTGGACAMAATCCTATKMCATGTGCTCTGGGATGACCCTGATTGAGCAGGGAGATTRAACCAGATGACCCAATGTGGTCTCTTCCAACCTGACCCATTCTGTGGTTCTGTGATTGTAAAAGTTGTCCCACAGGAGAGCCCCAACAGCCATTCAATATTTCCATGGGCAGCAAGTTATTTTTCAGAGAACCAGGAAGATCATCTCAGTGCTCAAGAGATTTTCTGCTCAATACTGCACACAGTGGTATCAATTATTTTCTGCTCTACTTCAAAAARRAATCTGYTYAGGTTTTAACAAAAAAAAAAWTCACAAAAATTTCTCCCATTATCATCTCCTTTTTTTAATCACCTATTACTGTACATGCCTTGATGATGGATCTCAGGTAACCTACCCCATTTGTTCTAGCCTAAGCAAAAAGGCTTTCTTTGAAAACTGCAASCTAGGCAGGAAAAGTTAAACTTATAGTAACTTTGTTTAAAATGCATTGATTTCTTTGGAATGGAGTCATATCTTMAAATGAAACTAAAGAGCGACCTGTAATAACTAAAGGTAGAGACAGACAAGAAAATGGCTTCAAGGTATAAGCCAATTTATTCTTATAGTGCTCAAGCCTGTGGCRAGGTAATACTTATTTTTAAGTGAAAAGCGTTGGAGGAAAAAACAGAGGTAATATTATCAAAGTCACACAGGTAATCTGCAGCTCAAGTCCTCAGTAATTCACTGGTGAGCAGGAGCTCAAACCTGTCTTAGGTGTACTCACTCCATCTGTAATGTTCACACTCACGGCTGCCCCAAAATGCTTTCTTTAGGGTGGACAAGAAAGTCCTGTGCTTAGTTCACAGGCAAAGGAAAGCAATCAGGAGCACTAATGGCAGCTAACCAGCTAACCATTAGCTCTGAGCCATCACCAGATGTCTTTTCTCTCCAGGATCAAAAAGGTTCACAGATTCTTATCCTGGACACCACGTGAGACTTGCTCAGGTAAACCTCTTCAGTATCAATGTGTTCATTGGAAAGGATAACAAAAAATACTGATTGCAGAAGAGCCTTATCCTTGAATCCAATGCTATTTTACTGGAAAGAAAAAAGAAAGAAAATTCTCACAGAAGTTTACACTGCTGGAGCTGTGTGACACTACAGAGAATATAACAAACTATTCAGAGCCTGATAACAAAAACCAACACCCTTTGTATAATAACTGCATATGAAATCATTCTACTGCCAGAATGTCTTCAGCTCCTGTGTACTTTAAATGACAGGATAGTTCAAATTCAGGAAAAATTATGTCCTTTTTTTCCAGCTGTTATGCTACCCATGAGAGAAAATCATTGTCTTTGCCAGTGAGTACTTACAGAAATAACAAAAAAATTCTATAARCAACAAAGGAAAAAATTTTAAAAACTTTTATTTGATTGTCGTCTAAGATGGGTGAATCTGGATAGAGTTGCAGATTTCAGCAGCATCCCCACCGTTCAGTTTAACTGCTCCAGACTTCATCTTTCTTTTYGTGAAGTTTCACCTTGTTTTATCAGGTCAAGATAATAATCTCTGAGTCAATGAATTTGAGACCTGAGATTATCAGCTGTCAGTTAAATTTGGATGAAAAAAATCATTAGAYTCTTTTTCTTTTAACTAACAACTCAAAGCCTGTATGCTTTTTCYCATTTTAAGTGAGCAAAACCTCCCTTAGGCATTTGTTTTCTTTAACTATACAAAACCTTTTGTAATTACTGACTTTTAACATCCCAGTCAAGATTTTGCAGAAACATGTCAGAGGCTTGTCATGTGTCTCTTTAGTTCTTATGTTCTCAACAAAGGTGATATGCTGACAGCAGGTTATTAAGTATATTTTCGGCATCAGAACAATTTCTGTTAATTATTAGTATTTCTCTTCAAGTTTGTGAAATTTTTTTGCAGGATACTTTTCAACCTTCAGTGCACCAACTTTGAGGCAGAAGTACTGATGGGACAGAGAGTTTTGTTTTAACAAGAGATCGAGCTGCTCTGACATTCATGTATTTTGTCACATGCCTTGCTGGACTGGCATATATGGCATCCTACCTGGGTATCACTGAAATAGTTTTCCCCACAGCTGAAAGGCAGAAATTCAGCACAAATGCATTCATGCCCAAAGAATGGGGATTGGTTAATTAGAGACCCACAGAGAGGCTTTGGTGTCTTGTGTTCATACTGAATGACTTCATGAARGAAGAAGGAAGCTAATTTCATTCCTACCCTGGTTCTCCTCTCCCCCTCACTGCWGTTCCTATTTTTCTCTCTGTTTCCCACGGCCCCAAAGCTCTGCTGTCTCCTTCCAGCTCTCAAGGAATGTGTGATAACCCCCAGTGACTGGGCAAGCATTTCTCTGCTTTTCACTGGATGCTTATGAAGATTATCCTGCTATGTTCACGCTGCTGTGATCTCACCCTGAGCACTCTCTGCAGTTCTGGCACGCCCTAATTTAGAAGGATGTGGAGGTTCTGAATGTGTCCAGAGGAGGGCAACAAAGCTGGTGAAAGGCCTGGTGAGAACTGTAATGTAACTCTGACCCCTAAACATACGTGCATGTACAACCAAACCATTTTTCAGAGCTAGTGGGACCACACAGAAACACATTTCTGTTTTACGTTGCCTAAGAGAAATTGCTACCTTGCTTTCTTCTAAAGCAAGAAAAAAGCTTATTAAATCTTTCTAAAAATGTCTGTGTCTTCAGGAGCAAATAAGCACTTCTTTTTCAGCCCTGATAATTTTTCAGTCTTTTCATACGACACTTCCCATTCTTTCCCAATCATCTACCAAAAACAATATGTGGATTGCAAGTCTGYTTCCTTTCTTCAAAGGCTGTCTTAAAGAAAAAAGCATGGTGAGAAAACCACAGAAAATGGGTTCAGATGTGGAATCTGGTGTCATGACTGATATCCATATTGAATGAATTTTTAGAAGGAGAGATATGGTGAATAACACATCACAAATTAATCCAAAGTCTCTGGAACATGTTGTATAATTATGTAATATTCAGCTTTCTGTTTCTGTAAGAGTCATCCAACAAGAGCTACACTAGTTTACAAACACATTGCTTTACATGTTCCAGATTTTGAGGTCAAAAATTAGTTGCAGGAGTCTGATTATGGCTGGAAATTCCTGTTTCTGGAAAGTAGTCACAAYATTTAGTGGGATAGAGTGGATAAAYTTAATGATACTGAATTGATCTCATGGTTTAATTTTTCCAGCATTCAAAAACATCAAATGGAGCATGCTGGCTTTTATGACGCAATTTCAAGAACTGCTTTTATGATGCTTGAATACCTATTCCTTCCTCTCTCCCTTTTTTCTTAACAARAATTCCATGTTGTTTTTCTTTGTAAAAATCCATTCGCCTTTACACAAGAAGCAAACTGCTTCTTTCTACCCTACCACCTCTCAGAATCAGCAGTTTTTGGACTGTTACCTCTTCTGMAAATAATCCTGTGCTCTTAATAGAGTCTTTCACCCAAGATTACTCCTCTTCAAAAGTTCTTGAGGTCCTTTCAGCAACAGCTTAAAAAAAAAATAAAAAAAAAATTCTTATCTTTTCTCTTACTCTCTCAACCTAAAACCTAAAAAGCAGCTCTTCTCCTCTCCTCCCACCTTCTACACTCAGTATTTCAAAATAGCTCTGGAACTGGGCAAGGCGAGAAGATTTGCTTTACCCGTGCAGAATCACACCAACAGGCTTAAAGCGTTGGAAGGGTTTGGTAGCAAATCCGAGCTGGAGCGTGGCTTAGCTGTAGTGCTAAGCCAGAGAAAATGACACCACCGGACTGGTAGAACATACACCAAAAAAAAAGAGTGCAGAAAGTTTCTGGCAGCACTCTGTTTATTCCAGCCACAACTGTTGGATCAAGCAGAGTAAGTCTCTTGTGAGTTTGTGAGAGACTTCACTGCCTGAGCCACAGGGTGTGATGGGAGCCCATGCCTGGCCTGTCRCTTCTCTCGCCTTTCCCTTTCCCCATACCACACTAGAAATATTAATTGTGTGTTATGAAAATGTTCCAAGCATTGAAGAGAAATAATAGGAAATCCTTGATATTTCACTTTCTTTGAAATTAATGAAAATCCAACCCACATGCACTTCAGAAGTGTACACAGGGTGAGAGCTTAAAAGGGACACAATGGAGTGTTTTCTGAATCATACTGTACTTCTTATTCTTCAATGTTTTCATATATTTTTTCTTCAATAAACAGCCATAACTATTCTGCCATTTCKAGGATTAAAAGCATTAATTGATTTTTTTTCAGGAACAAAAGAAGCATGAAAACTAAACTCTTGGACAAGAAATAATTTGTGTAGGTAGAATTGATCATTCTGAAGGTTACTGTATTTTTTACAACTTATGTTTTAATTTTGGTGTTGGAAGCAAACACTTGGAGTAAGAAGAAAATATTTCTATTGCTCTACAAATACAACATGTTTGATTACATCAATATGGTCAGGATTTTAAAATTTGAATGTTTAAGAATTGTCAGAGGTGAGAACTTTTTTTCCTGTTTCCTGTATTTTTATTACTTTCTGCTCATTTTCATGGATTTTTGTGGTCAAGTATTTAAGGCAAAGCAGGTCATCCTGTTTTTCCCCTAGCACATTGTCCACTTCTCAATTAACCATATCACAGTTTAAACATATTMTGGAGATTTGCACTCCATGCCACAGCACTGCCAAACACTGATGTATCTCCAGGAACAAAGGGCAGARCAATGAAAGCTGGACTGAGTGTTGCAACAAGAGAAGGTCTGGGGTGGTACAAGGATTAAGTCTTCAAAGTGCGTTCTACAGAGAAGAAGAAAAACCAAGTCTTTTTTTGTTTGGTTGGTTGGGGTTTTTTTGAGTCATAACAGAAAATAGAAGTAAAGTTGAAATTCACCCCASAGTTTCAGAAATTTCAAGTGTCTGTGTGCCAAGATATGTAGCTCCCATTATAAGCAAACTCTGGCAATAGTAACAGCAAAACCTGAGAGCTTCTCAGCTCTCCATGAGCAAACCCCGTACCTGAATAAGTTGCAGATCAGTTTACAAATTTACATTTTCACCTGCGACTGTGCTCTTTGCCTTTGTAGGGGGACAGGTCTCATCCCCAAGGCTCTGCAGGTACAGTGTGCTGATGGGGAATTCTCCTCGTGCCTTCTTTGGGAGAACGCCCATCTCTTCCTGCAAACACAGGCAGTTGCTCTCCTTCCAAAGCATCTCCTTCTTGTAAATTGTATGAGGGCAGCTGAAGGAGCTGGGGTGGTTTATCCTGGAGAAAAGGAGGATCAGAGGAGACCCTGTCAGTCTCTAAAACCACCTGAAAATGAGGATTGGTCTCTTTTCCCAGGAAAMCAGTGACAGGACAAGAGACTCCCTCAAGCTTCACCAGGGGACGTTCTGGGTGAACATCAGGAAAAGGTGGTCAGGCATTGTGACAGTCTGCCCAGGGAGATAATGGAGTCACAATCCCTGGAGGTGTTCAAGAATCTGCAGGAGTGATTTAGATGACAAGGTGGTGCCCAGGCAAAGGTTGGAGTTGATGATCCTGGAGGTCTTTTCCAGTCCAAATGATTCTATGATTCTATTCTATTCTGAGATTCTTAACATCAAAGCARTTTCTCACAAACAGGTCTAAAGTCCTATAATGAGATCAGACAGGCTTAAGGCCAGCTTATTTTTGAGAAAACAAGATCAATTGTTAACTTTGTTATCTTTTACACTCTGCTAATTGGAATGTGGTGTTTAAATAAATCCTCATTTGTTACTGAAGAGTTATTTTTTACAGGTAAAAGAGTTCATGGATCAGAAGGTCCTATTTCAAAAACATTTACCACTATCTCCTTTACTTACCAGCCACTGTAAAACTCATCACATAGTTTTTGTTTCTCCCTGCAGCTACAGGGCAGAACATTGAAGAGTCAGAGGCTCTAATGTTTTGAAAGACAATCCTGGAGTTTTCCTGATCAGAACAATCCACTGGTGTACGTCCTTTGAAATCTGAACCAAAACTCTGCTTTCCTGATGAGTTGCACAGAATGATAATACCTACYCAGATAATATCTGCTTTAATCCTTTCCCACATTGCTCACTGTGCTGAATCTCCAATTTTTTAAGGGCAAGTAAAAGCAACATTTCCTTCTGGCTCAGTAAACATGGGATTATTTTGTTTCTCAGACACTTCAAAAGCATCTGTTGAAAAACACAATTCCMAACAAAAACCCATTTATAATTCATTCAAGGGAAGTTTAGTATCCACAAATCTTGTAGGGCAAATAGTAATGATATTGGCTTATAGCAGAAAGATATTGAAATAATTTGAAATTCTGAAAAATATAATTTATACCTATCTATGTTTATATTTTTGTGCAAATTTAGACAAAACAGCCTTTATGGAACAGTGAGGATGTGATGGTATTGCAAGAAAGCTAATTCTGTAAATTTTGAGCAACTATTCAGCAGCATAAATTATGGTGCCAATCCAATTAAATTTGGCAYGGTCTTGTTCTTCTTTCACACTAGTTATAATAAGAAAATGGTTTGATGTGACCCTCAGGACATGCTTTAGTAAATTATGTCAGAAGACATTCCAGCCTATGAACTGCAACTCTCCCATTCACAAACCTCACACCACTTAAATTCAAAAAAATCTTATCCATTCATGCACTCTACTTGGGGAAAACCTGGATGATTGTCTGTGGTATGAAAGAAGACTTCCACACAAATTCAGGAGTTCAACTACATAGAAACCATAGGTTTGAACATATCTTAARCAATTTTGACTGAAATGCACTTGCTTTGAGATACTATTTTTAATAAAATAATTTACTRCTAACAAATTAAGAAAAAAAAGTTTAAAGGTCTGCAATAGAAATATTGTCAATTTCTCTGACATTCAGAGCCACGTGATTTCTAAACTTAGCTTTGCAATGCCTCTATCCATAAGATAGGACAGGCACTGTCATCTTGCTGAAGACTTTGATGTTGGAAAAGATTAATGATCACACTGTTTTCCTTACACTGTAAAACCTTTGATCTTTCAAGTTCTTCGATGAGATTTTTTTAAAATAGATGTTTTTAAGTTAGAAAAAAAAAGTCACTGCTATATATTTTTAATGTGTTTGTCTCTATCTGTGGCAGCAAGTGGAAGGTAAGTAGGCTACCTAGGAATAAGYGATTGCATTCACGTTGACAGGATGGAGATTCCACTGTGGGACTCTGTAACTTCAGAGAATCTCTCTGTCTCTGAAACACTGAATGAAAAAGTCTAGCCTGCAGTTTTTTATCAATGGAATACAGCACGGAAAAATTACATTCCCTCTGCCTTTGGAGACTAGAAATATGATTAAAACATTAAAATGTATAAAGACAAAAGGAACTGTGTCTAATGAGTTTACCTAAAATAATTAGTGAAGAACTTGAAGATACGTGTAGACTGCAATCAAGGAGACAGAAAGTTAATGACAGACAAGGACAGAAGAGAGATAAATTCACTAAACCAAACAGAAGGTACAACAGAGTGAAGCTAATTAACTCCTTACACAGCTTGCCAAAGACAGCTAAATTTCTATTACTGAAGTTGACTGCCAAGGCTGGATAATCATTTAAGTTATCATGCAAATTCCAGCAAGAATTTACTCATGGAAGTCTAAGTATTATTCAAATTATACYGAATGACTGCTATGATGGGACTCTACACTTACAAAAGATGTTCCTTGAAGCGCAGACCCTCAAAATTCACTACATTAAATCAGGTAATTTTTTTTTATACTTAGCAGATGCAGATTTGCATATTCATTCAGATCTAGGGAAGAGGGCTAAATGAAAAAGTGATTGAAACACATCCTCTACTGGAACACCGTATTCTTGGAGGTCAGATCCTTTCCTCAGTCCACAAACTTCCAGCAACAGCCTGCTTTACAATAAACCACATATTCCTGCCAAAGAACTCTTGCTTTTCGTGATGCTGTCTTTGCTGTGGTCTTCCACTGTGAGCAAGCCCTACTGCTGCCCACATTTCCCTCAGGAGCACTGACATCTCCCAATCATCTCCTGGGCCCATCATAGATGTCCTTTTCTTTTCACTACAATGCCACCCTAAACTCCGGGTGTTTTGCCTATGTAAACATGCTTAATAGGGAATTTTGTGCACAATGATTCTACCTCCCACCTTCCAGAGCATTCCCACCTGACCCAAATGATATGACTTTATAATAACCAGCCTTCTTCCCTGCTGCTTTGCCATATATTTGCTAGAAAAGTGTACATTGCACATATGGTTAACTGGGAATAAAGAGATGAAGAACATTTTCAGTCAAAGYGATGAAAATCCCTTCTGTCTTAAAATTTATTAGCTCACTCTTGTGYTATATTTGCCAAACAATATACCCCAGATGCTTGATAATATAGAACAAATATTATACTGTAACAGATACATTACCAARTTAAGTTTGTTTTGCAATTAGTGAAGAATTTCCATGTATAAATCTTAATAAAACTGTGTGATTTGCAAGTATACAAATAATGAATATTATGTTAATAGTGAGGACAAGGTACAAATTAAAAATAGAAACATTTTGGAGATTCTTGGCTGCTCCACAATCTATCACAACCATTTGCAAACAGAGACATCATGACTTTTTTTTTTGTTAGCATATATATTTTATTTGAAAGTAGGCAGCAACATTAAGGTATTTTCACTCTTGATGAATAATGTAAATGTCTCCCCTTGTTACAATATGGTGCCTTGAGCAATTTATATGATTATATAAGGCACAAACAGTGGCAAATCAGGCCTACATAGTTCTAATTAAATCTTCTAAGGACACGAAAGTATTCCAGGCTTTTGTTTTAAGCAATTGTCCCATTTTATTTTGACAGCAGCATCAGCATAATTCTTTCATCCTCCTTCTCCTCTGTTCAATCACTTTATTTAGCACCTTTCTAAACACAGTTTCTTTGCTTCCAGCCTGGTATGTGTGGGATGAGAACCTCCCGCTCCAAGAAACCCTTCTACGGGAAAAAAGCGCGCCCACACACCTTCACCCCTGCACACGCACAGCCCGAGGTGACACGCCATGTGTGAACATTTCAGAAACACCAAATAAAAATTTATCKTTGCATCTGATAAAAATAGACTCTGCCTTCCCGCTGCTCATTCCAGACACTGCCACTGCTGTCTGCTCTGCCCATGGTCACCTCATCTCGCTTCTTGAGCAGAAAGGGGGAGGTGACAGCGCTCAGGAGAGGTCCATAGGACTCCACTTAGTGAGAAAGTACTCTGTGCTTTTTATCCTGCACCCACCTCTTTTGGCACCATGTTATCMTATTTTGCAGTTGTACCTATGTCTATCTGATGTTAGATATGTCAAGGAGAAGAAATGCAGCCTTTCATGCTTTTAAGATATATTTCAATGTATTTCTTGGAAAGCAAATATCAGAAATACAGAGGTATAAAAGAGTGTAAACCACCTCTCCAGGATTTAAAAGATCAAGCAACTGAACCAAAATTCTGCACTAAGGTAATAGAGGAAGTTGAGAAAAATCTTTTGGAGGAATAATAAAACAATGGTGTCATTTCCTCCCATCCCCTCCTGCCTTTGTTATAAGCATTTAAATGTTAAAAAACTTCTTATGTGAAAGTTTGGTGCCCATTCATTGGTAGAGATTTTTAGAATTTCTCCTTCTTTTTCTCACGTCGCATCCACTTTATTTTGGTTTGGTTTGGTTTGGTTGGGGGTTTTGGGGTTTTTTTTTTGTTCTTTTGTCCTCCAATAGGATTAGTTGAAWTTGTTTCTTCAGGGGTTGTTTCACACTCTTAGGAGAAATAACTCATGACCTTAGCAGACTTTTCAAATGTGCAAAGCTAACTCAGCTTTAGAGCAGAAACAGGTTCCCAGGTCCCACTTGGTTTGCTGAAGCTTTACACACAAACACAGTCGTTTTCCTCTGCTTGTAATAAGCAGCACAAAAAAAAAATCTGCACACAAAAAGTAGGCTTAAAAATTTAGGAACATGAACTTTCTCTGGGTATTTTCATCAAGCAAATCAATTTTCAGAAGAGAAAATATTTTGAGTGACYCCTTCACCCTTCCCTTATAGTCTAAATAAAGCATTATATTTAGCTCCTAATGCCTTCCAACTGTATTATCACATACTACGTAGTTATTATTTTGAGTTCCTAAAAATATGGGTTTGCCTCATTTTTCATTTTCAACAAGTTACTGACACCAGTTCTACAATCCGACCAGAAACCAGCASTATGCTTGTGGTCAAAAAATGCATTTTACTAATAGCAGCTATTTGGATCATARAAGTTAAAATGAAAGTATACTCCTGTATCCTTAAAACATCCCTTTAAATATATATAAAATTGTATTGTGAAAAATTTGCCTAATCTTTCTGTACAAATTATTAGTTCAGCATTATATAGGAAACAGCATGCAATTATAACTCACCTGCCAATTCCATTTTATATATATATATTCTATTATTCATTGTTGCTTTTTTCCTSTTTTAAGCCGAGCTTTAGTTTCCTAGAGTGCAAGAAAAGGAAGAAGTCAAAGAGAGGGAGTGAGAAGGAGTACAGTGCTAATAGGAGTGAGAAAATAATTCTCTYTTCAGGTATAAACATTCATGAACTTCCAGCAAGGAGAATTTGGTTGCTGGGGAAGAAGTCATCAGACAAAAACATATAATGCACTATGGCAAGATTTATCTGCAGAAGAGTGTTGAAGATCTGAGAGGTCAGAATTTCAGACTTTCATCCTGTCCACATGCAGGAATTTCATGATTTCAGGATAAAGAGAATTTTACCAGCAACAGGARTTCAGTGAGCAGACAGCAGGAGTGACACAGGGCACTGTGCTCAGGCATCACTCAGTGTTATTGACCCACGCTGTCTCACAGTGGGTAAAGGGAGAGAAATGAGACCCTGCATGTCACAGCCTGCATGTGGGTGTGCATTTGTGCMCAGCTACTCACACCTTCCACAAGGCTCTTCAGGGGTGGGTGTCAGGCAGAGCAGAGAATGTCATGGGTTAAGCTACAGAGAGGAAAAGAGGCAGGGGAGAGGGGAATGGAAATGGTGTGAAAATTCAATCTGCATCCTAAGGCCACCAGTTGGAACCAGCTCATCTCAAGGGTGAAAGCAAAGGGTACCAAGGCATTGAATAGGGTACAAACCCAAGCTG